TACATATTAGAATCACTTTGTTTGTAAAAAAAATTGTGAGGTGCATGCTTCCAGAAATTTATTTCTTTCTGTTAATAACTCTTGTTAAAATAAACCCCTGATTAGTAGAAAATAAAGAATTAAATATACATTAAGAATCAAATGTAGAGAGATATTAATTTTATTATCTTTCTAATGTATTGCAAAATTTAATAGAAAGAAGATGAGATCTTAGGTCTCTATACAATGTTCTAGAGCCCTCCTCCCTTTCAAAAAAATGCAGAAGACCTTGTCATTGTTGTTTTAAATTCTAAGTCTCTCTTTCTCTTCAATCTCTTCGCCTTTTCTCTATCTTTTCTGTTGTTCCTTTTTTTATCCTCCCTCTTCGAATGGCAAATGAGATTTCAATTTATAGGAAGACAAGGGGAAGTTATTGTCAAGTGTTTGAAAGGGATTGGTGGGGGGTTATTATAACTTCCTTATTGAAACTACCTTATCAAGATTCATTCGTTTATCATAACGAACATTTCCTTTGCTTTTCACTTCTAATTTATCTATTAGCTTATTTTTTTTTATTTCTTAAAATAGGTGTTATGTGGAGCCTATATACCTTCAAGCTGAAATTAGGTGTGTAGTTTTTTATTTCTTAAAATAGGTGTTATGTGGAGCCTATATACCTTCAAGCTGAAATTAGGTGTGTAGGGTGAGTATCCTCGAGTTAGATTTTATTGCTAAGAGCCTATATACCTTCAAGCTGAAATTAGGTGTGTAGGGTGAGTATCCTCGAGTTAGATTTTATTGCTAGGGCTTATGATCACATGATAACACAAATACATCGAAATTGATATGCACCCTCAAGTTAAAGAATTTGGTTAATATGAAGGGGTGAGACATGTGTTTTTGTATTGGATTAATAGAGGGTACATATATTCTCAAACTTACATGAGGTGTTGTCATCCTTAACTTGATTTTCATTTATATGAGGTACTATCTCTCATATTGATTTTAATTTATATGAGGTATTATCCCTCACATTAAGTTTCATTGATAAGATTTGTTGAGCTCATCAAATTTGACAACTACAAGGGGAAGACATGCCTCTCTAAATTAATTGATATGGAGGGTTTACCTTCATTAGTTTAGATTTATATGGAGTACTATCCCTCACATTTGTTTTGATTTTTTATGAGCTACTATCATCCTCACAATAAGTTTCGTTTATAGGGTTTGTTGATACATAATTTTTTTGTGCGTCTACACCCAGAACCTTGTATTTTTTATTTGTGAATTGGCCCCAAATACAATTGGCTCTTGTGATTCAGCCCCTATTCACACTGCCAAGTAAAAAAAACCAAAAAGCTTTCAAGATCACCCCTCCCTCTTCCTCTCTCCCCCCCCTCTCAATGGTGAGACTTCTCCCCTCTCTTCCTCCTCCCAAATCAACCCTCTCCCTAAATCCTTCTCCCGACCTCCACTGCTGGCGCCATTGTTGCTCCTCCCTCCTCTCCTCCTCCTCTATCCTAACCCAAACCTTGATCCTAATGTTCATGGTTGCTCCTCCCCTACTCTCCTTCTCTCTCCTAACCCTAAACTTATCTCTAACCTTCCTCCTCTCTCTGTCTTCCTCCTCTTCTCATCCGACCCTGCCATCTCCCTCTCCCCCCTCCCCCTCCGACATTTATTGACCTCAAGTGCATCCTCAGACCCCGTCATCTCCCTCTTCCACCTTCCCCTCCACCACCACCAATATTGAGCACATCCTGAATTAGTTCGACTCCAACAGTGATGACAAGATCTCCTCATCTGAGCTCGCCGTCATCTTCTTCTCATTCGACCACTCTCGCCTCCTTTAAACTTTCACGCATGATGGCCGAGACCACCTCCTTTGTCAAACTCCCTCCTCTTCCCTCGCTGCTACCAATTCATCTACAAATCCAACTCCTTAAAATCCCCCCCACAAAAAAAAAAAACATTTCTCTCAAAAAAATCTCATGATTGAATTAATTTATGATTTTATTTTTTAGTAGTAGATTGAATCTTGTTAATTCTAAAATATTGAGTGTTAATTTTAAAATATTGAGTGTTAAGTCTACCTATTTCTTATTAAGTTTACCTATTGGTTGTTAAGTTTACTCAATGAATGTTAACTATATAGATTACCAGTTAACTTTAACAAATAGATGTTAAAGATATGACCTAGTCATGAACTTTAATAGACATATATTAATAATTACTTGATATTAAACAGGAATAAATAAAGTTTAATAGGTACATCATATAGTTAACGTGATACTGAATATAGTTAAAGATACTAGATATAGTTAACAGATACTTTGATATAGTTATCAGATACTAGATATAGTTAATAAATAATTGATGTAGTTAACCGATACCGGATATAGTTAACAAATATTTAATATAGTTAACACTATAAAGTATATTCAGTAAATATTGATTAGTCTTACCTGATTAGTCTTACATCCAAGCTAATATAGTTAGCATCTAGGCTTTATCACTTACAACCAACTCTAATTCTTTACATCAACACTTGATATAGTCTTGTTCTATTTGTCCCTTTCCTTTTAGTAGTAATTGGTAGCAATATACCGATCTCATCCTTTGGTACACTACACTTCTCATAATTTAGGATGAGATAAAAGATAAGTTAATAACTCTTTTTTAGATGCTTAATAGTACAACTAGTAAAATTAACTTAACAATTAAATAAACAGTCAATAAAATGTACACTGCAGTTATGAATATTTAAATTAAAATTAGTCAAATATACACTACAATTATGAACTTAATAGTTATAGTGTAAGTTTAACATATACACCATAAAATAAATAGGAATGACATAACCTTAACAAATAAATAGTAAGTTTAACATGAATTGCATAACCCTCACAGTTATAATATAAACTTAACAGATATGGCCTAACTTTAACAGATATGCTAGAACCCTAGCATGTACCTCATAAGGTTAACAAGAATGATATAAAGTATATGTTCAACTGTCTATGAATAAGTTTAACATTTTCCTCTTTAAAAGGAGAAAACATTGAACATTATACAATATTCTTATACCACCTTCTTAAAGTTTCCAATTTTCCAATCCAAATTCAAAAGTTCTTATTTCCGTAAATAATCACCATACATCCATATATCCATTAATTCAAATGAACACTTTGTATGTAAGCTTTTATTTCTCAATTAAGAACGCATCATGTACAGTCTACATATAATATTCAAGCCAACATAATGGCTGTACAATAAAGTTTTAGATAAAGATTAAACCTCTCAGCAATATCTCTTGTATTCTATGAACAACTAACAAAATAAAACAATAAAACAATAGCAATTTGAGCTTCTTCTTTTGATGAATTCAAGCTTCAATAGTATAGCAGATCTCTAAGCAATGACATTATTATGAGACATTTCATCAAACACTTTTTTTTGCATCTAACTAACATCTAGACTTGAAGTGTCAAAACTCTAACTCTAGGCTCCAATTCTGCCTCAACACCTTCTTCGGTCCCTAACCTCCAATTTTGCCAGCGGGCACCTTCACCTCACCTAAAATAGTAGCACAACCTAACCATTGACCGGGACCATCCTTTTCAACTCGGCATGTAGAACCTCATAATTCGAGTTCTCTCCTGCTGCCCACCTTTTCATGACAAATTCTCGATCTCCTTCTACTCCTTTCTTTCTCCCTCACGCAATCCTCAATTTGAATCTTGACATTAAACTCTATCGCTTTCTTCAAGCCCTTGCATGTAGGGTTTCTGCACTCAGAGGAGGTGGGAGAGAGAGGAGAGGATGAGGAAGGAGCAGGAGGAGAGGACAAGGATGAGGATCAAGATGCCGAGGGTGGCAGTGAGGGAGGAGTAATTACAGCAATAGTAGAAGAAGGTAGGATTGCTAGGGTTAAGGTTTCGGCGCTTGGATTTTGAGATAGGGAGAGAGGAGGAGGAGGAGGAAGAAGGGGACATTGTGATGGAGGAGAAATGATGACGCCCTTTAGCGGATGAAGAGGGGTAAAATGGAGAACATGGGTAAAATAAATTTTTTAGGGACTTCACACAAATTTTCATTACTAAAATGAGATTTTTTTAAAATAACCATTTTAAAACATAATTAGCAGAATCTACCGTTTTCCTAAATAATGAGCAAAACCGACCTCTTTTTGACAACTCATCAAGGCTTGCAAAAAAGAAGTCGATTCAAAAAAAAAAAAAATCTTTAAAATACACAGGACTAATAGTCCCATGTAATTAGCAATTACAAATTATGAAACTGATTAAGCTCAGAATATACATAGGACTATTTAGTCCCATGTATTCATTCCAAAACCCAATTTTTAATCGCAACCACCATTACCCCTCTTCCAGAGCTCCTCCCTCCACTTCTCCTCAATCTCCTCCAGGTCGAAGGTTGAGTGTCGAAGGAGCCTCGAGGGAGAAGGCGATGGTCGAAGGCGACCTCGAGGGTAGTGGTCGAGGGAGCCTCGACAGCGAGGGTCGAGGGCAAGGATAGTGGTCCAGGGCGACCTCGAGGGTGGTGGTTGAGGGTGGCCTCGAGGGTAGTGGTCGAGGGAGCCTCAAGGGCAAGGTTCGAGGGCGAGGGTGGTGATCAAGAGTAGCCTCAAGGGCGAGGGCAGTGGTCGAGGGCGATCTCAAGGGCAGTGAGAGCCTCGAGGTCGAGGGTCGAGGGCGAATCGGATGAGAGAGAGGAGAGCGATGAAGAAATTCGGAGGAGAGAGCGCAAAGTTAATTTTTTAATTAACGTTGCTAATTATATGAGACTAGTAGTCCCGTGTATTTTGAAGATGATTTTTTTTAAAACCGACCTCTTTTTTGTCGGCCTTGATGACCTGGCAAAAAAGAGGCTAATTTTGAATATTATTTAGGAAAACGGTCGATTTTGCTAATTATGTTTTAAAAACCTTTTTTTTAATTCTCCTTATTAAAACGGTTATTACTAGATACGCACATTGCAAAAGTCTACGTGTTCTTTTTTACTGTAACTTTTACAGAATACAGAACCCAATCTCCATCAAAATCCCAAATCCCCAGAGCCGCCTCCTCTCTCAAAAACCCTAAATTGCTAAATCTCAAAAAACCTAGAAACCAAATCGTGTCAACTGGATGGGCGAAGGGCGATCTCTTGCGAGCGTCGCCACATCATTCCGCTCAAAAACTGGGTTCCCTGTTCGTCCTCGATGCCCAGAGCTCCTCCGTGAAATCGCCGGCGAACCATCGTCTCCATGAAGGTAATTGGAGTATAGTAAGTTTCTGAGAACCATTTAGTAAATCAACTCAAGAAAAAAAAATATCAACATTCCTTTTGTTAGAGGTGTAGTAGAACTCACTCACTTCTAAAAGCAAATGTGTAACACATCACATTGTCTCCATGTTGCCTAACTTAGCACTAGCCGAGTACCAACCGAATACTCATAAGTCCCCGCATCGCCCCTTTGGCTTTATGCAATTACAGTAGACTAGTCCCGGGCATACGAGGCAATGTTGATGTTACCAAATATGTGTTGTAACCATAAAGATGGAGTAGCTCTGATACCATTGGTAACTCACCCCTAAAAGCAAGGAAGCAGGGGGTTAAGAAGAGAAAATCTAATATGGGTGAGTTCTCCTGTGTCCCTTAGAAGTGGTATCACAGCCAACCCCACCTATCGGTTGCAATTTAGCGGCATGGGTGGTGACGCTGTTATTTCAGTGTTCACCCGGGACTAGTTTAGCAAAGCCAAAGGAGTGATGCTGGGATTGCAGTGTTCACCCGAGGCTAGATTAGTGCAAAGACAGCCCGCGCGGGCGCCGCGATCAGAAGCATTATGGTATGTTAGGTTCCATTAAGCCCCATATTGGTTATATGGGTAACTTGATGTGGGTTTATAAAGGCTTTGGGTTTGCTCCCTCTACAAGCTAGCTTTTAGGGGTGAGTTCTTCTGGGTTCCTTAACAAGCTACATTGACTTTCCACTTAGTTATTCTGGTGCTAAATTTTACCGCAAAATATTTGAGGAAAAAGAATTGAATTTATGTTGCATCTTTAGTAGAAATTTATGAGGGGAAGAAGTGTGGCGAATTTGTGAGGTTTGTTAGGTTCAATAATGCGCTCTTCTAGTTGTATCAAAGAATTTACTACGAAGATGGAGAATAGACCTGTTAGGCACTTAGACTCGATCATTTGATAGTATAGGATCTAAAATAGATACACTAGAACACTAGAGGGGGTGAATAGTATTCTATTAAAATTTATGCAAAGTAGATTATAAATTGCAAAGAAAAATGGCAATCTCAGAAATTCACAAACAAAAACACAAAGTTTTATACTGGTTCCACCAATCCGGTGTACATCCAGTCCCCAAGCAAATCCCGCTTGAGAGTTTTCACTGTGATTTTGAATAAACTTACAAAATCAAAAGCAAACCTGACCAATTTGCAAGTCCCTGTAAATTGCAACACCAATTGACAAACACCTTGCCAATTTGCACACCAATCTCTGAACCAAGAGATTAACACCTCTCACAAACCGAGAGAACTTTTGAAGCAACAATTTCGATTCCTATAAGCCTTGATTTGTAGTGTAGTGTAGTAGTGGCTTAGGAATGATTCTAACTTCTGTAAATTGCCTAAACAATAAGTATTTGAATAATGTTCAAAGGCAATTTCAGAAACTTTTCTTTTTCTCAAAATCTGAATGTTTTTCACTTGAAAAAAATGCACAAAGATCAAAACTTATGGGTATGTAAGTCTCTGTATTTTTTCTGAACAAATAACCTATTTATAGCCCTTGAAAAGATAATTATTTGAACTTTAAAAACGTTTAAAAACATCTATAAACAGTCATAAATTCAAACTTTAAAATCTAAAAAAACTGTATCTGTAGTCGACTACAAGACAGAATAGTCAACTACACTGAGTTTAAACAGATTCTGTGAATTCAGAAAATTTCTCAGTAGTCGACTATAAAGTTCATTAGTCTTCTATCTGTATTAGTACAGAAACTTAAAAAATGAATTTTGCCTTCAGTAGTCGACTATAATGTCAATTAGTCGATTATACTGTAAAATACAGAAACTTATATTTCTGTCATAAGCTTAAGTAGTCGACTATTATCCAAATTAGTCGATTATACTGTAAATGACAGAAACATATAATTAGGTCATATACATGAGTAGTCGACTACTATTCTAATTATCGACTACTAAGAGTAAAAAATGAGAATTAAAATGTTTTTGATACTCAATAATTAACTATAACTCTAATGTTAATATAGGGGATTTCTATAGTTAACCAACACACTAAGTCTGTGTTAGTGTGTTTCTAATATTTATGTGTGTGGTGTGTGAGTGATCAAGGCTTGTACAATAATTCTAAGTAAAGAAAATATAAAATACATTATCTCATATGTTCTTCATCTCTCACTTTATAATGCCTTGAACTCAACTTGTACTTGTTCATATTTTGATATTGAAATCTGCATATAAAAGTTAGTGGCATTTTGTATAACACACATATATAAATTGTTATCATCAAATAAATATCATGGAGATATGATATTCAACATTCTCCCTTTTTGATGACAAAATAATATAATGCAATATGAATGTATTTTATAACCAAGTTTAAACATTATGAAATAAACATACTTACTTCCCCTGCATATATGCAAATTAGAGTCTATAACATTACATAAATCTAATATAGATAATCATTTTTCCCCCTTTGTTATCAACAAAAAGAGATAAACATTTATGCTAAACATGACATTATTTCTTCAACATGAGCTAATACTTCAAACAAATTATCCAGATTATGAACATAATCCATAACTTCACCCATCCAAATAGGTAGGCAAAGACTTACCATAAAGACCAAAAGTTTCACAATGTTCATCACCATGATCTGTTTAAAATATATAGCACATATATTAACTATCCAAACAACATCATAATAATGTAAACACATAATCAACATACTTGACATTGTAGCAACATAACATATTACATATGTCTTAATAACAACCCACAACTACATACTTTTTGATACTTAAACATATATAACTAACAAAGGAACATAATTGTTTTGAAACTAAACACTAAAACATCCAAATCTAATATGATGCATGCATAAACTTCTAAGGTGCTGGAGGAGGTTGATGTCCTTGAAAATATGCGCTAAGCTTTGTATCCAAGTCATCAAACTTCTTGATTAGCTCTTCTTGATTACTAATGATATAGGAATTCTGAGAATATAGAGCACTTTGACCAGTTTCAAGTTCAAGAATACGAGCAGATAGTGTGTTGTATTGCACATCTGAAAAACATGAAGGTCCTGAAGGAAACGGTGGTGGTGGTTGACTAGAAGAAGTTCCAGCTTGAGTTGAAGATTGTGGAATATCTTGTGGAATTTCTTCTTGATGAGGATGAGGTTCATCTTGAGGATTTTGTTCTTGAATTTCAAAATTTGTTAACTTCATCCTAGTTAGGGCATTGGAATCAAAGAATTCAATGGAACGGACAACAAAATTTTCAGATTGAAGATCCACATGAAATTTGTCAAAGACTTTTGTTAAAAAAACACCATAAGGAAGAAATCCTCTTGGTATTGTCAGAAGATTGTCAAAGTAAACTTCAGCTCAATTAACTTGGATATTTCTCATTATAACATATAGTGCTTTTGCTAAATCTAGGAAAATAAAATGGAAACTCTCAGTTTTTGGAAACAAGTTATACGCTAAGATTCGTGCAATGAACCTAGGAATTGGACGAAGTTTGTTTGAATTATTTAAAGGTTTACTATAACCAGGAAGAAATATATGATTAGATAAAAGATCTGAATCATTCATCCTAATTGACCTAAGAGAGACTCCTTAAAAATGAATATTAAAAATTTTTCGAATTGACTTTGTAGTCAATTCAATTTCTATTCCTTTAACAAGAGTTTTAAGTTTTTCAGTACCACCAATAGTTCCAACACGTTCTATATTAGTATAGAACAATTGAACAAGAAAAGGATATATTGGTTTTCTATTTTCAGCAGAGAATAATTCAAGCAATCCCACATTATCAAAATATGATCCAAAGTTTCAGGGAATAAAATCATCAAATTTCACAAATCGTCCTAGAAGAACTTCAAAAGTGGATATTTTGTTAAATTCTTCAAGTAAATCAGGACTTTTTAAGTAAATGATGATTTCATCGTTGATATTAGTATGAATTTGCTTAGCTTTCTTAGCTCTAGACATGATGAAACAGAAAAATATCAGAAGATACAACTTAGCTCTAGACATGATGAAACAGAAAAATATCAGAAGATACAAAGATCAAGTTGAGAATTTTACCGCAGACTGTTGAAACCCTAGATTAGTCGACTATTACTTGGTGTAGTCGACTACAGAACCTGACAGACTTCAGAAAATGATGAACTTGATGAAAATTTTGAGAAGAAAGATGATGCCCTAACTTGGAATCAGTGGGTTCTGAAGAGAGGAAGAAGAAGAATCGGTTTTAGGATAGGTTAGTGGGTAGTTTTTAGGTTTTTATCTTTTCTTTTTTAAAAGAATTGCATTGTATGGTCCAGATTGAATTGTAAAATAAATGAAAGGTGATGATTTTATCTTAGATATGTGGCTAGGATTGATAGAGTTGAATATCTTTGGTTGAGATGAACTCTACTTAAATGAAACGGGTATTGGGTTTTGGGTTTGATTAAAAAAAAATCAAATAAGCTTTAAAACTGTAAAACTGTGAATTCAGTATTAGTAGTTGACTAGTAAGAAAAGTAGTCGACTACACTATAATCGACAGAAAGTTGATTTTCAGATTTTAACTCAGAGTAGTCGACTATAGGTGAAATTAGTCGACTACACTGTAATTTACAGAAAACCTTATATGCAATGCTTGTGCATGTAGTCGACTATAGGTCAAATTAGTCGACTATTAAAGGTATGTATGCATATGTGTTTGTTTTAAAATTTTAATTTAAATCTTCAATTGAACATATACCTAATTCTCTTCTTAATTTAACATAAATTTTTTCTTTTAAGGGTTTTGTTAATATACCTGTATTTGTTTATTAGTAGATATAAATTCTAATGAAATATCACCTTTAAGCACATGATCACGTAAGAAATGATGTCTAATATCAATATGTTTTGTACGTGAATGTTGAATAGGATTTTTAGATAAATTAATTGTACTAGAATTATCACACATTATGGATGATATGTGACTATTTATTCCATAATCAGA